CCCCCCCCCCCCCCCCCCCCCTCCCTCCCTTTACTCTGTGTGGGTTCAAGCCTCACAACTCCACAGCCTTCATGTCTGACAGCACATGGGGAAGGAGAAGAAAGAGGAAACTGACTGACTGACGCCTTTTCTGACTTTCTGACGCAACGGGGAACTTTTTGTCCATGTCACCAGCAAACCTGAGGCCAGGACACCCAACAGCCTGTAGCGCAGCTCTTTGCCTTTTCCACGGATTAATTTAACCACACCGGGATTCGATGTAAGTGCAAATAACCGCACTTTTCTCTCTTCTCTCTCTGTTTTTTTATTTAATTGTATCTCCCTTTAATCCATCCAGCGCTTTTTTATTTGTGCGTAAAAGTTGACACAATCTAGCCAGGATGTGGCTAAAGCAGGACATCATTAACTCTTATGATACATTTGGAAGCTTTACATGATAGCAGCACACTTTGTGTAAAAGTTGAAGCACCAATGATACGCGTTTAATGGCTCTGGATATGGCTTGGACGAAACAGAAAAAGGGCATCGGAACAGCTGGAGTTTACTTAGAGGTGCGCGTCGGAGCGGATGAGAGGCGACACGTCGGCCAACGTGACATATTCAGAAGTGTGTGTTGTATCTTCTATGACCACATGACCACAGTGATTGCGCAATAATAAAATATATTTCAAATTGTTAATTCAAAGATGGAAACATTAGGCTGCTGCTGCTGCTCTGAACGTCCTACAGCTCCACATTCCCCGTCTGTGTGTGTGAGGGCCGACGGAGAGACAGTTTCTCCTGCAGCATGAAACGGAATGATCATGTTTACAGTTTGCTGTGTTTTTACTCCACATTTCTAAGACTTCCGTTGTGAAATATTTGGGAGGTCAAAAAGATTTGGAGGAAATGGATAGTGGCAGGGGACTGCCGGGGCCACAGCGCCCGCGGACAGAAAAACAAAGCTGTACGTCCCCAACGAGCAGCCACGCGCGCACACGTCAGCACGCGCCACAAACACAATATCCACAACTTCAATCTTACTTATGCTTATAATATCTGCATCCATGTTACATATTATGTTTGTAACGTTTTAATATTTAAGAGTGACCTATGATGTGATTATTTAAACGTTCTTTCTTGACATTGATTTAAAACAGTAGTTTGACAATAATAATGCTATAATAATAATAATAATAATAATGATAGTAATGATAACAATAACAATAATTATTAATGATGATAATAACAGTAAAAATGGTGATAAATGTTAACTTTAATAATAATTTAAATAATAACAATGAAATGGTATAAAATACAAGCTTTTTCAGAGTTTTCAACAGCATCTCCCGGTCTTCCTCATTGGGTGGATATTTTGAAAATATGTATATGTCAGTCAAAAACGATTTTAAAAATAGTTCCTTACTATGGCCCGTTGTTAGGCCGAGAGGCTAAAACACTGTGAAACCAGGATCACATTCTGCATTACTCGGTCAAAATACATGCATGAATAAATAAACTGTAAATGTGGAAATCGAAATATCAAATAAATAACAAAGCCCACAATGCACAAGTTATCGTCCAGAATTAATATTTTATACTTACAATATAAAAAGGCCTAATCCGCATTCTAAGGTTCAGGTCACGGGCGTTTTATTGAACAACAGCCTACTTTCGCTTTTTTTTTTTCCCAAAGCCCACGCTGTTCATTTTCTTTAATATTAAAAAAATCAAGGGCTTGCAGATTTGCTTTCAAGAGCCACCAGGTCAGATTTCCCCAGCAGGCCTTCAGCTACAGCCTCTTTTGCATCTGCTCCCAGGGCAGGACGTATGAAAATAAGATTTGTTTAATCGAAGTTCACGTTTGGCCTCAGGGTAGAATGTAAATATATATTTTAGTGGTTATCACCCGTCCGTGTACCACAGAGGCCGGTCTGAAGGCCACGGCCCGCGGGACTAAGAGGCCAATACCGCAGCGCATCTGTGAGTCACTTCAAATCTGCTATTTCAAATGTATCACGTCAGTTTGTTACCAGACAAAAATCCTCCTTTCTGCCTTTAACAGGATTCATAATGTTATGATCATACCACGGTGTTTAGAACAGCTAAAACGCGCCAGCATGTGCAGCTAAAATATGTATTCACATCCATTCAAACCATGTTTAATTTCTAAATGTTCAATGCCTTTAAAACTATTAACTGTAAAAGGAAAAACTTACTTATAACTCACGTTCTCATAATTGTATCAGCTAAACTTAACAACCCACAATCAACACATCATTTATATTTAACATGTTGAATGTATAAATCTGTTAAAAATATGCTCCCTCTAGTTGAAATCATTTCTGAACAAAACGTTGTTATACACTCACGGACAGTCATAATCAGTGAAATATGCTTCTTGGTCGGCCGTGATGAATTGTTAGAAAGGCTCTGTGTTAATCACTGTTGTGGACTTGTATTGGTTCACACAGACAATTATGTCCCCGCTCTGTGAGCTGCAGGACGGCCTCGGCCTCTCTCTCTCAATCATATGCAAATGGAAGTTATAGGAGGGCAGAAATTAACATCTACAAACATTGGACTGAAATTCCATCTGCCGCCTCTTCGAGGAGGCCCTTAATAAGTTCTCAGACCGCAAAGTGACACACATCTTAATCAACTCTTAATCCCGGGAATTAATTCTCGACGCGTTTATGAATAATTCCCGGGCTAATGCCCGCACTCCGTGGAAATGTGAGCAGTCTGCCGCGCGCACCGCCAGATGGACCCGGCAACATCCCGAAAAATGAGAGTATTTTTGCTCCATTATTTTTTTTTTTATTATCAGCACCATATATATATTTTAATGAGATCGGTGTCACCGGGCGACTACTTATGCAAAGCGCTGCTGCTTATGCAAACTCTCATCTTGCTGTTGATTGGCGTCCATTTCTGAACAGGAGGCCCCGGCGTCCTGGCAGTGTTTGATCTGAGCGTGGAGGCCGGCGGTACAGCATGTCAGGTGGATGGGGCTGCTGCTGCTGCTGCAGTGCCACAAGTGCTCCAGGAAATAGACTGGGTCCGTCGGTATCAGGTTTATTTTAGATTTCCATGAACTTGACTCAGGAGGTGGGATCTGTTCCCACAGAGGGAAGTGAACATCAGCACAGCCACCATCATAGCATCCATCTGACTGTCAGCTTCTGAGCTCGTTAGCTCAGTGATAGCTTGTTGGCCATATTGAGCTCATGGGGAGGGGGAGAAGGGCTCTTGATTTTGGAAATATAATCATGTGGCAACCCTGATTATATGTGTGTGTGTAGCTGGGTGGGGGTACTAACACCTTGCTCTGGACAAAATGACTTGCTTGTATCACCTGCACGCCCCCTTGCTGCCAAGCCAGCCGGCCTCTCAGCACCACATTGACACCAGGCCGTCTATCTATCCATCACTGCCACAGCGGATTTAGCCTTCCGGACTGACTCCCATTTACAATTCTGACCAAAATACTGGACCTGGCTAATACTAGATCTGGGCTCTGCTCTCACAAAGGGACAGCTGTTGCTCTGTCAGAGAGCACCCGACTGAGCTGTTCCACCAGAGGCATGGGACCTGTTTGTGGACGGTCTTCGATTTTATAAACAGAAATGGCTCAACGCACAGCTATAGCAAAGGTAACGCTGCTTCAAACAAACATGACATGTTCCGCCTCTTCATTTTAAAGAGTTAAATGTTGCACGCGTGTTTACTTGCTGTATTTGTGCTGAGTTGTTTGACTTTGAACAAAGTGAAGGCTTTTTTCAGTTTGAGCTTGTTCAAAAGGACAGAGAGCACGTTGACCTTTCTTCAGAGAAATCAAAATAATCCTACAGCGAAGGTGATAGCATGACGGCTGGTTATGTTTGCCAAATCTGTAATTGGCCTGTAATATTTTATGAACATGGTGCTCTATCAGATGAGGCTCGCCCAAATGTCAGATCACGGTTGTTGGAAAAATAACAAAATGAGACAAATGTAACATCAGCCATTCTCGTAAAATACAAGTGCTTACAGAAAAGCCAACAAATGAAGTGAAATCAAATGGTTGGTCACATTTGACATGGTATCCATTAGAAATCCAAAAACAGATTATTTGCTGTAATTGAGTCATTCAACTCATCAAAAGAGGAAGAAAAGAAAGGATATTTGCGCGGCCGTGAACGAGGGGGAACGTGATCTTTCTGACCCACAAATCCATATGAGAGGCTCATTAATCTGAAGCCACAACACAGAAGCAGTGTACTTATGGAGGTAATCTCTCTTCTGGGAGACTTGACCTTATCCTTAGTCTCGCATCTTTTTTCCCAGGGATGCAGCGATGGCCTCTGGCCGACAGCAGAATACCCATTTTCCTGTCTCCTAATCTTTTGTGAAATGCACGGATCGTTCTCACGCACGCTAAATAAAAACAGATGCAAGTCTTTCTTTAAAGTCTCTGGAAAATGTCACTTGCGTTAGCAGTGACAAATATAAAAACGTGCATTAGGCAACATTTTGAAGGGCTGAGGCATTGTTTGTCTGGCCGGAATAAGACGGCAGACGGGTTCCATGGAAGAAGATGTGGACCCACCTATCAGATGTCACAGGTATTCAGTGGTAACAAGGTGATAAACATATTTAATCAGAATATGGAGGTCAGCTTTAGAGAAGCATTATGTTGCTTTGTTAGCGACTGACACAATGTTAAGAGAGGGTGAGGAAGAGTTTAAGAGAAAGCAGCGATGACGTTCATTTCCGTGTGCCAAACTGAAATCGTAGTCTTTGGAACCGGAAAAATGGGAACAAAATGACAAAGCAACCTCTGATGAGTTCCTCAGACTTTTCAATGCATGTCTTGCGTTCGGTCTGAATTTCCCATAAGAACTGGACTTTTCACATCTGTTTTCATATCTATCTCAATCTTTAATGACTTTGTTGTAAAGTTGATCTGAGTTGAGACTCGTGATCCTCAGTACTGTGTTTGGATATTTGAGTGTTTTAATGACCTGAAGAGGAGTTCACCTGCAGTTGTACACAAACAACACATTGATTCTGATACCGTTGGACTAAAAACCTGCATCTGCATTTAGACAACAGTAGTCAATCATATTAATGAATCATTCAGATGAATCAGTGAGGTAATTACAACGGGCCCCATGCACGCTGTTGTGGCGGGGCCTTGCCGTGCTTTTAGTTTGAAAGGCTCGATGGCTCACTGGGCTTTCAGGTGTGCTCAGCTCTTCAGTCTTGACAGATGTTGTGCCCATAGCGTGTATTGTCTCGTCAATGTCAACATACATATTAACCAGCAGTCATCATTGCATATCTGTAGATGACAAAAATAGCGAAGATAATATTTGTTATAGATAGCTACTGACTATTTAAAAAATACAAGTATGATAGAGATGCGTTTGTCTTTTTGAAGGGGTATATAGCGACATGGTACTTGTCCTGACCAATAGATCTTTCTGATGTGTATTCTGAGTGGTCTAAAAAGGCTGATATCACAAACCAGCTCTCTCCAAACAATACTGCCTGCTTTATCTCTTCTAGCAACCCTGAGATTAATAGAGAATATTTCAGAAAGATAAGATGTATCCCGCTGACGAAAACCTTTTATTCATCCTAAGTGTGTTCAGGACTTAGAGGAGGAGGATTCAGCCTCGTCTCTGTGACAGCAGAGCAGCTGAAATAAAGTCTCCACTGAGGTTCAAAGAGCACCGAGGGAAATAAAGTCATATCAACTGTTTCAAATGGTGACAGTGAGTCTGGTTCAAGAGTTCAACAAGAGTTATATAGCTGTTGTTGTTGGTGGTGCCATGCCATGCTCTGTACCCCCCCCTCAGGCTTCATACTTAACCTCAGCAGAGGTCACATGTGACTGGCACACAAAGGACTGGCATGGTGGAAAACAGGCGGCAGGGAAACTCACTCTCCAGAGGCCAGGAGAGGTGAGGGGGGGGGACATAAATACGTCTTCCCCAGAAAAGCTAAATGTGCTGCTTCTAAAGCTGGAAGCCACAATGCTGACGACACACACAGACTGTTACTGTTAAACCCCAGCTCAATTCTCAGGAGGTTTATCGTCTTTTTAAATCTTGGATGACATGGATTCATTGTAGTCTTCAGCAGCCTCCTCTCAAACCTGTCAACTTTAGGTTTTACTCACTAATATCCTGGGAAATGCAAGTTACATAGAGAAGGAGGGTAAAGAGAAAGAGCACGCCGGCTTCACTCTTTTATTCCTCTACTCCCACATTAGATGTGCTGGTTTGACATTTTGTTTCTCTTTTCTTTTACTAAGTAGAATACTTTGTCAGCTGAATAACTTCAATGTGACTTCACAGGTAGGCCTATAAGAAGTAAGTCACATGAGCACCTCCTGAGAACGGACTTTTTTAGAGCAACACTTTGGATGCTTGTTTTGATCAAACGTGTGAAATGTAATGGAAATATTCAAATTATTTTGACTTTACAAGTAAATCATCCCAAACCTACCTCAGCTTGGACGAAGTCCAAATATTTTCAAGGTGTCAACTGCTCTCGGATAAATAAACCAGCTGCTATTTTTGGGCTCCATCGGGCAACAGTTCTATCTCTTCGGCTAGAATCTGGCTTGGAAATGTCATCGTGTATTTTACAGCAATAACTCTATTGCTCTCCACGTAGCTCAAAATAGAGTCAGTTCGGGGCAGCTCTTGTTATAGCCGCTTATGTCAGGCTTATGTAAAGGGATCGGGATTACAACCAACCAGGGGTGAATGGAAAGATCAAAGAGAAAATAGAAACAGAACGCACTGCTAAATTAAACAAATACACACAAACCCACATCAAATGGAGCGTCCGCAGATTTAAATACACAGATTTTTTCCCCTAATAGGAAACTAAACGGATACGGAATCTCCAGAGAGAGTAGCTGTATGTTTGGGAGGGACACGATGAGTTCAGGTGTTCTTCAAAGAAATGTATTTACATCACTCCGGCAATAAACACACTACGATGAAACTGATCATGACGAAACAAAAGGATCAGAAATGAATACACTAACCCTCACATTTTTTCTTTGATAAAGACTTCATGATATATTTTGTTGTATGTCCTTCCTTTTAGAATACAAACTGAAAGTTTAAATATTCCACTATTTTGTCCCCCTCCCCCACAAACTACAACATGACAATGTTAACTTTATATTGTGCACATTGCAGTTAGAATATTACTTTAGTGGTGACAGGGTAACGTTGGAGTTAAGCTATAGGAATGTTGTGACATCATAATTAATTATGATCAATGAAAATGAAAGGTATTGAATTTGCTCATGAATGAGGAACATCTCGGCCCGACATTTCCATGATGACTCGCTGCTCATGGGGGGCTTGTAGCTGCACAGCTGTGAGTCAGTGTGGGAGGATGAAGCCTGACACGTTGCTGTCTGTCTGTGTGTCTGTCTGCAGAACCTGGTTATGGATTTCAACCTGCTGACGGACAGTGAAGCCCGCAGCCCGGCGCTGTCGCTCTCCGACTCCGGGACCCCGCAGCACGAGCAGGGATGTAAAGGCCAGGACAACAGCGGTCAGTTATCACCGGAGCACCTTCACGTCTGTCTGGGCACCATGTCACACACACACACACACACACACACGTAGCTTCCAGCGCGCCACCGGATCACAGCAAATTTCAAGAAAAGAATGAAAGAAAAGAAAATGTTTAAAATCATGAGAGTTACAGATACACTACAGGTTTCGGCACATCATGCAATAGAAAGGACTATTCTACAGTAATGAGAATAATGATGATAACAATAATAATAACAGTAATAATTATATAATAATAATAATAACAGTAATAATAATATAATAATAATAATAACGATAATAATACAAAATAGATACAATAATAATATAATAATAAGTATAATGATAATAATTATAATTATAATAATAACAATAATCATCATCATCATATTGGGAGAAACCTGCTTATTTCTGCACAATCGCTTCAATAAATTATGGATACAAATTGGCTGCAGAACAAACAGATAGTAATTATTTCTGCATGCTGGATCACAGCGAGGAACCAGAAGACAACCGTCCCCGCAATGCGCCGATTCATTCTCATTTTATATCTGGAGCACAGTTTAATCAGAGCCAACTGATAAAGAGAAAATATGTGATCAACTATGCAGTGTCGAGCTTGTAAACGGCCCGACGTCCGTGAGTCTGCAGGAGTCTGTGGTCCGGAAGCCAGAGGCTCTCTGAGAGTCACGTTCTCTGCTGGCGGGCTGTGGCCACATAAACGCATTTGACTTTGAATAATAAAATGAATTGCAAAAGAGCGAAAGCTATTTCTCCAGAGAGCATCAGAGCCAGACCGCTTCAGCCCACTTTCAAATCAAGATGTAATAACCTCTCTGTGGTGCTCTATGGGCGGATTGAATTAGCAGGAATGAATCCTCCAGCAGCCCAACGAGAGGACGATGTGAGTGACAGGCCTGCTGCTCCCAGGACCGAGAGAGGAACTCAACAATATTCATGATGAGACAAAATAATAACTTAACGTCCACTTATTAGCTTTCATCAGGCCTTCATTCATTATACGGATTTTTGCTTCGCTGTGATCGGTGGTTTAAATTGTCCTCACGTGATCTATGCGTAGGTCACGCGAGGACAGATATTATACTTTACTTCCGCTCTGCCTGTAAACTATACTGTGGTTTTTAAAACCTAGTTAGGCTTCATGTTTTAGCTTGTCACATGTCACATGATCAAATATTATTATGTTAAATAATCTGCTGGATCTCTCTAACTTCTCCATATAGTGTAAAACATCTTAACCCAGCCATCAGTCTCTCTATCTAGTGGTGTGCGTGTGTGTGCGTGCGTGTGTGTTTATGTGTGTGTAACCCAATCTAATTGCTGAACTGTGTGTGGTTTGAAATGTAGTCCTAACAAACTGTCAAACACAAACTATTTTGGACAGAAATGTGGTGTAAAATGCTTCGGTGTGTCTCCTGCTGCAGCCACCTTCTTAAGGAGGCCTCTCACATTTCACCCTGAAGAATTTATTCTCAAGTAAAACTCATGTGCTGCCTGTAAACCTTTCTCTAATGGAACCTGACACTTACATACAGGGCCTAAATGTTGAATTGATGAAAGGAAACAAGGCCCAGATGGTGCATGTTGGCACCGACATGAACCCCTTATTGACCTATAATTATTTAAAATAATGCAATTATTATTTTCTAAAAAATGGTTTTCATGTTTTAATAATCAGATCTATATTTTTATAATAAAATAATCAGATAGATCAATACAGTATGATGCCAAATTCATCTTATAATATGGTTAAACAATTTTGTATTTTGAGACTTCATATGTAACCCTAACCCTAATTTATCCTTTGAGGATTTGTCCTCCTAAAATGTATACAGCTGTCAGTGTTGTAAATAAAATGTACAAATGTAGGTTTATTTGTTACAGAGGTTTCTACTGTGTTTACAGTTGTCTGAGAGTGGTGAAGGGCTATCAAGCTCTTTCACACAGAGGATTCCAGCAAATAGTCATGTCCTGGTCGTTGCATAATGAGCTATTACTACATATTCTCCAGTATTGTTCTAGAGGGAACTCTAGTCCTGAATTGTGCATGATGGATGCTTTTTAAAGTTAGCATTAAAATATATTTCTGAAAGTTAATTGTTGCCGTTTGTTCTCCTTTGTAATGAACACAAAATACAACGTTACATCTGGACTGGTTTAACACGCACCAAGCCAAGTCCCCAGGAAGAACAATGGGCTTTGAGGAAAATTGTACTTTGTGGCCAAACTGTGGAATTTCTGGATCGATCACGTGATGTCATGGGACATGTCATCACAAGACGTTTTCCCATAGACTTACATTGAGAAAGAGATGTTTCTAACTCAGGAGATATTTATTTTAGATGAATCAACTTCAGAGTATGAACACTTGAATAGGCCTTATTTAAGTCATCAGGTCCTAAAAGTTGTACAATGCACTAGTAGCTGAATCCAGAGTTATTGGTCTTATTGGTAAAAGTTATTGCTTCTGTTCATGTGAATGTGAATGAGGCTGTGAAGGAAACGTTAGTGTTGTTTAGCTTTATGGGCCCTCGATGAAGAAGATCATCCAGGTATTTTTTTACTGTCGAATATTTTTTGCGCCACTGTATAATATTCCGGGGAGCGATTTCCAACGCTGTATTCTCTCTACACATCCGTGCTCCAAGCAGACGGCCATGCCACAGGCACGGACACGGTGGACTATCTCACACCCATGGCTGAGTGACCAGAGGGTGGCTCTTTATGAGGAGCCTTCTCTCTTGATAAAAGGTGCTGCTCCTGTAAAAAGTGGCTGTGATTTTATAAAGGCTCTGACCTGGAAGGTCCTGTATGTATGTGATCGTCCATATGCAGCCGCTCACTCGTGGAGCTTTTTAATTCTGTGAATATGATCTGAATTTAGCTGTTTTCCAGAAGTTAAAAGCCTGTTGCAATCGTTTCCCAGGTTAAAGCTCTCTGAATGGCTGACCTGGAACGGCTCTGTCATGTCTTCACATTATCAGTCAGATTGCTTCTATTGTTGGTCAGTGCCCCACTCTAAAAAGGTCTGCCCTTTCCTCAGTATTGTGTTATAGACTTTGGCCTTAAGTGACAGCTTACCCAGTGTCAGTTTACTGCCAGATAACAGCCTCTGCCTGGCCCTTATTGGTTTTGCTGGCGGCCCTGTGGAGCCTCTTTTTAAACCCCGCTGATTATTTCGAACTGCTCCGAGAGCTAAGCCCTCGCCAAACAGAGCCCAACTTGCCCCAGTCACAAAAGCCTGATCCGCAGGATTAGCTGGCCAACTAATTTCACTTCTTTCTGTGAGGTCCTCAAATTGCGGCAGTCAGATCTGGCACAGAGATGCCCTGGCAGACATAACATGGATGTGTGGTCCTTTAAACTGCGCTGGGGGCCAAATGTAATCACTCACTGCCCCTACTCATCTTTGAATGTAATGCAGTGTTTGGAATCATTCTCTCTTGGCTGTGTCACACACTCATGCTTGTCATTTTCCAGCTTGTGGGATGGAGGGATTTCAGATGAGGTTTGATCTGAAAATAATATCCAGTGGGTTTGAGCAGAGATGATGCCGATGCCATCCAGGCTGAAAGGTGACAGAATAAAGTGCTGTTTCACACAAAACTCTATGTGTTAACTTAATAGTTCTGCTTCTCTCTGCAGAATTCAGCCAATTAGACTCTACAGGGTTCAACTGATCTGCACCAGAGCTCTGTGTTTAGGGGCCTCCTCCTACATTTTAGAAAAGTGTGTGCATGTGCTATACTTAGTGAGATGCATTAAAGGCTTTCAACCTTTTACCACTGCTAACACTTTATTTTACAGGTCCCATAGTATCCTAATAATTCCCTAGAGAGGAACTGATATGAAATCTATTACTAATTAGGGAAAATAGATACAATCTTGGAACATGTCTATGTCCATCTAATTAAGTCCAATTCATCTCTAACCTGCCCTCAAAGTGAAAATCAGGTGAAAATCCAAAGTCATAGAGTTCAAGAATTGTTTATAATAAAGTTATAAGATAATATTCAACATTGTTCATTTTAATTTATTTGGTTTAAACTGGTTCTTTTTTTTAAAAATGATTAACCTTTAGCACTTCTTTCTACAACAACAGCTCTAATTTCAGCCCAACGTCATCTATTCTATTTTCTGCACAGAGTGGAACCTACCAAGTACATTTAAATACCACAGTTAAGTAAAAATAATGAGGTCATTTAATTAAGTACTTCATACATTTCAGAGTGAAATATTGACAGCAATAGTAACTATAGTTTACATACCAAACACTGTGTATGATCAAGTCAACAAATATATATTTGTATAACATAGAATATTTTCCAATCAGCTCCATCTCAACCAGCGATGACATTGAATTGCTGCACATACACATCAAAATATTAGTAATTATAATCCAATGATTTAATATATATAACAAAATACCACTATAAAACATGACAATCTGCATAATATACACCTTTTACTACTGTACTGCATAAGAAGTTGAATGCAAGACTTTTACTTCTATGGACTTCTTTTTTTTACATTGAGGTACTTTTACTTTAAGTAACTGATCTGAATCTTCTTCCACCGCTGTATCTACTGGGTATGTAATTCTGCATTGTTTCACAATTAAGTTATGGTAAAATGAAGTGTAACACATGTATGTGGGAAAAATACTAAATATGTTACTTTATTAGTTTTAAGATCATATTACGGCTTTTGTAGGGAAAACTATGTTTTTTTATTTGAATGCCTTTTATGTAGAATTCTGTTTATCCTGTGCATACATGGTGCATGCTAATTTGTGCATAATCAAGTTACATACATTTGTGAGGGTCAATATGGACCCACAGCTGCTTTTTACCCCCGAAGGGTTAACACAACCCTGAGTGTAGTAAAGTGACAATGAACTGATGAACAATGTAAGCATCAGTCTGTACTTGCAACAACATATTTCTCTCTCTCATGACAAGTAGCTTTGATAATGATGATCATTTCAGTTTCTCCTGCACATCCTCCACATTCTGAAACACTTGTGAAATATTCCACATCTACAGTGTTCAATCTTTTAATGATCCAGTGATGCATTGTCCTCTTCTCATTGGTGTGTCATGTTATGCTGTCGACCCTCATCTATCTTCCTAACTAAGCCACTCCTCCCAGTGTCCTTTTGAAATCTGTAGTCTCTCTGTGTGTCTGCAGACACTGATAAATCCCACCAGAACCAGCTGGATGAGTCCAGCGCTGAGGACAGCTCTCTGAAGAAGAAGCAGCGGCGGCAGAGGACTCACTTCACGAGCCAGCAGCTCCAGGAGCTGGAGGCCACCTTTCAAAGGAACCGCTACCCCGACATGAGCACCAGAGAGGAGATCGCAGTGTGGACCAACCTCACTGAAGCACGGGTCAGGGTGAGTACACACACTCTGCCCTGGTCCCTCTGGAACAGAGAACTGTGTTTTTTATTACAGCATGTGATTTTAGTGATGAAAGATGGTCTTATCAGTGAAATGTAGTATTTTATAAGAACACATTGTGATCTTTTCTCTTGCATAATCTTGTCGGCAAAGGGGACACATTTGTGGAGCATAGAGCCCATTAAAGCTCCCAAAGCAGTTGACCCTTAGATTTGAATGAATTATAATGACACCCCTCAAAGGTTTACATTTCTAGACCCACCAGTGATTAGCCACATTCAAACCTGAACCCTGATAAAAGATAGCCCTCTCATTCATTTAAATTGTACAATCCAGTCTGGGATTTCATGGCACATTGTCTCAGGAGGTCATTGTCACAGAAGTAGTCTTACATTGTCTGACTGGTATATTGTCTCACCAGTAGTCCTTCATTGTCTCAGCAGTAGTCTTATATTGTCTCACTAGTACATTGTCTCAGCAGTAGTCTTTCATTGTCTCATCAGTACATTGCCTCAGCAGTAGTCCTTCATTGTCTCATCAGTACATTGCCTCAGCAGTAGTCCGTCATTGTCTCACTGGTAAATTTTCTCCCCAGTAGTCCTACATTGTCTCCCCAGTATATTGTCTCACTGGTACATTGTCGCACTGGTACATTGTCTCAGCAGTAGTTCTTCATTGTCTCACCAGTAGTCCTACATTGTCTCACCGGTGCATTGTCTCAGCCGTAGTTCTTCATTGTCTCAGCAGTAGTCCTTCATTGTCTCACCGGTAAAAAGATTTTCACCAGTAGTCCTACATTGTCTCACTGGTACATTGTGTCACTGGTACATTGTGTACCAGGTACATTGTGTAAAGGGTACATTGTGTCACTGGTACATTGTGTCACTGGTACATTGTGTAACAGGTACATTGTGTAAAGGGTACATTGTGTAAAGGGTACATTGTGTCACTGGTACATTGTGTAACTGGTACATTGTGTCACTGGTACATTGTGTAACAGGTACATTGTGTCACTGGTACATTGTGCCACCAGTACATTGTGCCACCAGTACATTGTGCCACCAGTACATTGTGCCACCAGTACATTGTGTCACCACTACATTGTGTCACCAGTACATTGTGTCACCACTACATTGTGTCACCAGTACATTGTGCCACCACTACATTGTGTCACCACTACATTGTGTCACCACTACATTGTGTCACCACTACATTGTGCCACCACTACATTGTGTCACCACTACATTGTGTCACCAGTACATTGTGCCACCACTACATTGTGTCACCACTACATTGTGTCACCAGTACATTGTGCCACCACTACATTGTGTCACCAGTACATTGTGTCACCACTACATTGTGTCACCTGTACATTGTGCCACCAGTACATTGTGTACCAGTTGGTTGGGGAGCACAAATAACAGGTAGTCAAAAGGTCACACCCGTTTGTTTTACCAATGTCATCTGTGACGTCTTCAACATTTTTGGTACGCTGTTACTTCTTTTAAACATTATTGAATTTGAATGAACTGTAAATGACAAATAAATAAAAAAACTGATGGTCGTCTTAATAGCTTTTCCAGGGATTTCTCTCCCATCTCATGATCTTGCTCTATCACCTGATGAAGACAGTGACATGTATCTTCTTTGTCAAGTTACTGGTTTTAAAGTTGAGAATCACATTTCATGGTCAACTTAAAAGCTGCTGTAAAATTAATGATAATATTGCTTTTTGCCTGTTGTATGTGTGAAAAAACAACTGTCTGGTCACGAGCTTGCTATGTCAACTAAAAATGAGTTAGCTTGCCACTGTCAAAAATCTTTCACACAGGTTTAAAGCCTCTTAGGTTCTTCAAGATAATGTGCATTTAGAATTTGTGTTATGTTTGATTGAAACTGTGTTGATAAACATTTATAAATGTTCAAAACATTTAAATCTGGCTTTTACCTTACAAAATTATGAAGAAAATCACATATAAGTAAAATATTAGGTTAGGTCATCCCTTGGAATCCAGTGTAATGTTATTTCCAAAATGTTTCAGTGACTACTTAGTTCTATACGTTTTTTGAAATAAATGGTAAATAAACTACTTGTATAGCGCTTCTCTAGTCTTTCCGACCACTCAAAGCTATGACTATTATCATTTCCAAAGACATACTCAAAGTTCAAAGTATCTTTATTGTCCCTTACAGGAAAATTGGTTTGAAGCCATGTCTCATACACAACACAGAACCCTGATTGACAACAACTAACAACAGGACATAGTTTTCAAAGTTGTTCAGTAGGAGGTTCTTCAGTGTCCAGGTTAAAGTACAATTAAACAATCAAACCCTAACCTTTACTGGTCCAACCCTAACCATTTTGTAACGTAGGCTCAGTCATATTTTATAAACCAGTCATGTAGCTGCAGGAGAAAATATAGGATACCTAAATGGTTAGTAAATACAGCTTTGGTAGAATTCCCTTTCTACCAAAGCTTCAGTTCACATACAAAACCTAAATGTCAAAGGTGCAGCAAAGTGTGCCCACACCCAGGGGTTTGGTCATTGTAGCTATATGAAGCAGGAGGACACACATTCTGATGGATGACAATACAATCCCCGGCCTGCTTTACAAGTAATGGATCAAATTAATGTTGGCTGGATGAAAGGTCACATAGCACACACTCTTGGTTGTTGTTTTGAAAGGCCAACAGACTACACATGGTCTCGTCACTGATGTCTTTCAGTGGCCTTTCTAACCCCGACACATGCCCAAATACCTGTCAGCTTGATTCATGAGATTTGTCAGAGAGCTGTTGTTAATCTTCAAAGTCGAAGAACTCATTGTGAGGGTCGAGGGTGAAGTGATAGACAGTGTTTGATCCTTTACACACTGTAAAGACCTCCGAAGCAAATGTGTGTGATTTGTGATATCAGACCACATAGATACAACTTGCTTCACTTAACTTGACTACTGCATTGTCGTCAATATCATGCATGGGACCTTCAAACTATCTCATATGCTATATGTGCTCTGGTCTACAGCTCTGCTAGTGGCTTTACTGAGGCACAGTGATGCTTTGAGCTAACTGTTAACGTCAGCATGCTAACATGATCACAATTGTTAACATGCTGATGTTTAGCAAGTAACGTATTTTTCAACACAATCCATTCAAGTCATCATCTGTTACATAGGAAACATGATTATAAAATTAACCCATTATGGTATATTAAGTTACCTACTTGCCCGCAGAAAAACAATATGTTCAACTGTAATTTTTCCGCACTAACATTTCATAAATAATTACAAACATCCAGTAAGGTTAAAGTAAGGTTCATTTATGTTTAAAGCCGCACAAATTAATACAATTTCACAAATAACAATGACTCAAATAAAAAATAACAAAGTTAGCAGCTAATAGTGAAGCAAAGGGTGGGAGCCAGACAGCATGAATTTACTGCAGCTATATAAACTATTTTTCAAGCCATTTGATTATAGAACCTCTTAAAATCTGTACCTCGTTTGGGGAAAACATGATAGTTGCCAAGGAAAGAAAATACTCCTATTTTGTATTTAATTTTGCTCCGACTTTATTCATCATTTTGAAACCATAACACAACAAATGTTGAGGATCACTCATTTTCAATCCTGCCTCCCAAAATGAGGCAAACAAATGTCTGACATTTTTTTAAAGGTTTCATAACATACATAGGCATAGATAGGGGTAGGAATTAATCGTAAACATCATCAATTATTTTGAAAGCTATACTTTTGTTACAGTATTCTGTCTCTATCTTTATAGAACTTGTGCTCCATGTATTTGCCGGTCCAGAGGCTGCGGGGAAATGACACAAAGTTGAAGTAATTTTAAAAACCTTACAGATTCAGGGCTTTTGAGGAAACATTCAGGGCTGAAGCCCCCAGAATCAGAGAGTTATATTATTATCCAGTAATAACTCAATTCAGATCATGATCAGCCTGTTGGGGAACTTTCCAATTTTTCAATCCACATCGGAGACCTTTGATGGCTTGATTTTCTGACGTACTGTATATAAATGTATCTGCAGTCGAGCCACTGAATAACCTTGACATTCAGCCTTTTCCACAAACAGTCTAACAGCATTGCCTCCGAGTCACGGTAAAGATTGGGTAGCTTCTGTCCTCTGGCGTGGGGTTTCCCCTGCTGTCACTGAGTGGGATGGAAAACTCTGTCATGCACTTTATACTCATATTAATGGTCAACAACATTCTGTTACTATAATAACAGAGGATTGGATGATACACAGCATGTATGCCAAGGCAGCCGAGAGACAGCTAAGTATCAACACAGGAAAGGCCTGTTCAAGTTTTACGAGGATTTAAGAGAAAAACATTTGATAGTAAATTATTAGAATGTAATACAAACACAGACAGATGAGATGAGACTTCTGTCAGATACTGTATTCATATAGTTTTGTATCCACAAATGAAAGGTTTCTGTCTAATTCAAAGCAAAAGTTTGTCCACAACTTTACACAAAGAGGAACTCAGTTTTCAGCACAGTTTTCATTTCTAAAAACCCTCAATTTCGATTTTTTACCGAAGCATTAATCCAATTCATATCCTCCAAATATAGGACCATAAAATGACAAATGTGAAGATTGCCCTTCCCTGACATTTCTTTCATTGGGATCCCACTATTCAAATAATTCAATGATTAGTTTTAATAAGCTTTGCCTAATACGACTGTTTGATGATACACTTCAACTTACTTTCTGGGATCATTATGTCTTTCAAAGATTCTGGATATATGCACACAATATTACTGAAAGTATTTGAGAGGGGTTAGGATACTCTAGATGTGTTTTAGAATTAGACTTTATTGACTCGCGACACTTTCTGATAGTTAAGAAAAAAGTCATTTCAAAATAACTTAATCAGTCACCCTATTTTGTTCTTGTGTGCAAAACTAACATTCATCTTTATTATAGGTGAAGCTCTGAAAACATGCGATAATTGACTAAATGATTCACTTCACCTACTGAAGCATTACTGACTACTGAATACTTAGTATTATTCCGTATTATCTTTAGTCTCCAATAAGAATAATGTTTTTTTTTTTGTTTTTTTTACAAATTCAAAGCGGCTCAATAAAAACGTTCACGTTTTAATAATACGCTTCTTATTATGAGAAAAAAGTTGAAAAGTAGTTTTTGGTTATTTCACATCAGAGCTGCTTTTCCCTGGTTCGAGGTGGACGTGGCTCAGTTTGAAAAGGAAAATGTCTATTACACTTCTACCCAACACACACCCACACTGTCCTGATGAAGCAGAGTAAGAGTTTGGAACTTTTAATAAAAGATATCTAGAGGCGTTTTTGGTCTTGCATATTTAATGTTTTTTTTCCTATTTTTGTAGTGGCTGTATCAGGGTTCAACAAATAGACTGTACACTCAAGTGATTTACTTCTTTTGCCTTCCGTAGGTATGGTTCAAGAACCGCCGTGCTAAGTGGAGAAAGCGGGAGAGGAACCAGCAGGCAGAGTTATGCAAAAATGGCTTTGGTGCCCAGTTCAATGGACTCATGCAGCCCTATGATGACATGTACACGGGCTACTCCTACAACAACTGGGCCACCAAGAGCCTAGCAAGCAGCCCGCTCTCCGCCAAGAGCTTCCCATTCTTTAACTCAATGAATGTAAGCCCCCTATCATCCCAGCCCATGTTCTCTCCCGCCAGCTCCATCCCCTCCATGAACATGGCCTCGAGCATGGTGCCCTCAGCGGTGGCCGGTGTTCCCACTACGGGGCTCAATAACCTGGGCAACCTTAACAACCTCAACAGCCCCACAGCGCTCAACTCGGTAGCAGTGACCGCGGCCACATGCCCCTATGCCACCACAGCCAGTCCCTACATGTACAGAGACACCTGCAACTCCAGCCTGGCCAGCCTGCGGCTCAAGGCCAAGCAGCACACCAACTTCGCTTATCCGGCAGTGCAGAACCCCGTGTCCAACCTGAGCCCCTGCCAATATGCTGTTGACCGGCCGGTATGAAGAAGAAGCTCCGATGACGACCCCTGACCCAACTGACCAGCTGTAAGTCCTTTATTACCCCACTTCACATCTCTTCAGCTCATCTCTTACTGCCAGACGTGCGGCAGACTGGCACATCATGTTTTGATGGTACACAATGAGAATAATCTTCAAAACTGACACAACAAATAGACATGCCCAGATGGACCACTGCATTTCAAAGGAATTCTTTCCAGTTTGTGAGACTTTGTTGCTGAACTGACCAACTGCTTCAAAGGATTTCTAAAGATTATAACCATTATCATTTTTTCCTTCTTTTGAACTGCATGATTAGAATAAACGTAGAAACCAAGAGTAAAGAAAACATGGATGCTTCAACTGGACTGGTGGTCAACATCTTGGCCCAAAATCATCAAAGGCGATCTTTGCTGCTGTTGCAGGAAAAGGGACCTGTGGTTGCAAAGTGGGAGAAATGGAGGATGTATATAACGGACTTTTTTGTTTTGTATGTGACAAAAAAATATATGAAAACGTACTTTAAAGATGAGAAAAGCATGTTTTTCAAACGCAAAGGCCCTAGGTTTATGTACTATGAGCACATCCTTTTGGAACTTTAAACTTTGTTGTGAATTCTTCTCCCCTTGGAAGGTCATAGGTCAAAGGTCAGCTTGGGTGGGCAGTCCTGACCACAACCTCAAGCATTCAGAACACATACAGAATATCAGATTTGTCAAGTAAAACTCTGAAAAGCCATTGAGTATATAGATTTGTGTGGTGTTATACAAAGGGAGTCCATGACTGTAAAAATGTATGTAAGAGTGCAGTTGTCATAACAAAAAACAAGCTTTTTTTCCTGGTGTAGCCTGCTTTGTCTCATTAAAGAACCAATTAAAGGATCCATTTCTATCAACTACAAATGGACTTTGACATTGAACAGAACATGTCTTTTCATATCTCATATATAGCCTATGGCATTATACAGTTGGGTAACACAGGCAAAAAAACAAAGTTCTCACAACAATAAGCACAACGCCATGGAAACCCTGACTCACTTCCATGGCAACCATTATGCAACTCTGAAAGAGAGGAGTAGGCTGGAGGGAGACAGGTGGGGAGATGTAGATGTTCCTGATCGCTGCTCACTGATATGTTTGACCTACACTCCGACTGCTAACCGCAGGCTATCCAGTAACACAGCAGGAATTCACAGAGGCCGAGTCTGAAGCAGGGCCAGGATGACATAAGGGCCTCAAGGAGCGAGGTGTCCCAGCAGGGTCACAAACCCTGCAGCCCATCAATCCCATCATCCCATGCAACTGTTTACTGCTCTGAAATTTCCCCTGCTTTTCCTTTATCACACTTTTCCTAAGTCACACTTTAAATCACATTTTAATATCTCATCATGAGGGTGGAAATCTCTCAATATGTAGAGCACTCAACGCTGACATTCTGGGCTCATAATACCACATCAATTCCACTACTTCTGCTTGAAGTATTATAACTACTGCTGATTAAAATGTCATTAAAGTGTTCTTATAGTAAACAAGTGACACATATTAACAAATTGTACATTGCTGTTTTAAAGAGGACATGGAAAGAGAGGACAAAACAAACTGATTTTCAAAAGTAAGTTTAAAAAGTAAAAGGTGTATAAAACATAAAATTGAAACAAACAATAGATTGTCTTATAATGTTTATTTTTGACTTGGCAATTAGCGGTTTGACATAAGAATCTGATAACTCCAGTTTCACTTACCAGCAGTACTCTGTGAATACAATTTCATGTTTGAATAACACACAAAAACATTTTTTTAAGCTTCCAACTACATTGTCGACATGGAATATCCGAACTCAAAGTCCACTTACGCGCTATTTACCCAATGTTTCAGCTATATTTCATGGAATTTATCGCTGAATGGAGTTTGCTCTGCAAAAGTAAGTAAGAGGATCTTGAGTTCAAACTGTAGGGTGGTAAATCAAAAGGCAAATACTGTGGCCTACAAACTGCCTAAAACATTTTCCATTTGGAGAAATGTACTGCAGTTTCAGAAACGATACCAATTCAAGAACACACACGGAAATCCCAAACAAATACAACAGCAGAAACATGCTGCAAATGAAAACAAATGAATGCAGGAAGCCAGAACAAACCCATCAACAGCAAACAAGTTGCAAATACAGAAACAATACAGAAACACGCAAACCCCCAAAACAGATGGAACAGGTAAACGCTGCATATCCAGTCAGCACAGCCGAAGTTCTCCAGGCCTCAAGGGGGAGCGAAGTGGAACAGCTTGACTTTCAACCACAGAGCAACCAAGAAGTGCAGTAAAGAGGCAACAGAAAAAGGTCTGTTTTCTTTATTATTATGAGGCCTCAGTCTTCCACAATGTCATAAAAGAGCAACATGTTTACTAAGCTATTGTAAAAGACTATGGCCAAATGTGAAAAAGAATACGAACCTTACAGTATCGGCAAAGCTTTTCAGATTGGAGAGAAAATGTTGCTGTTAGCTCATGGCTACACTTAGCAGTAGACTAAACTATTAGCATAATCTTCTCTCCATCTCTTTAATACATGAGTGTTCTGATGAGCGGTGAGCTGCAGCAGACGAGACGACTACAGTCAGCAGGAGGCCGAGCTCAATCTGTAACATTTGCTCTCCATCTCTGAAGCGCTTCACCGATATTGTAGCTCGCTAGAGCCTCGAATCACAGTTCATCATCTCAAATATATGGGAGAATATTTTAAATTTGGAACCATAAACATGTTATTCTGGCCCCCTAACAACAGAACAAGATGAAGGTGATTGTTTGCCTCTGGTCCTTCCTTTGTTTGGTCTCCAGCTAACAACTAACGTAACCGTGGCGTTGGCATGAAAAGAGCTGATAGCATTTTTATTCAAATTTTGAAATTAAACAGATTAAAAAGACAAAACATTCTGCATTAAAATGAAAATCTTGTAATTGTCTCTATTTTTCTTATAATTACTTTATAAATAGACAGTTCTCTTTCCAAGAAATTATTATTAAATTACCCAGCATCAAAGTCTTATGGCTGTCTCAAAGCCCTCTCCGTCCTGCTTCTGGTTGAGAATTACAAAACACTATAGGACTAAAAATATTTAAATCAGCTTAAAAAAGTCGCAAATTGTATTTTCATAATGTAAACATCCTCACAGTTGCTAATGCCGACACATTTTTAGGAGGAAATGGAAGAGATGACCTCAGTGTCCTCAGCTATGACCGTGCTGACACACAAACCCAGAGAGACTGAGCATTGAATCAGAGTGGCCTGTTCCAAATACTACATTAATGTTCTGCTTGTCTGGCATGTGTTCACAAGGGAGAAGTGTCAGTCAGTATAGTCCTACTAAGAAACACTTTGAGTGGCAGTACTCGCAGACAGCAGGCTGCTTCATTAAATGTTGGTGAGACAGCTCCAAATGGTACAGCGAACAGTTTGAAACAGTCTGGCTGATCTTTCATGGCCACTGCTCTCCTAATGTTCGGTTTGATCGAGGTCTGCTGGTGCACATGTTGCTATTAAGTATGTTTATTTCTTGTATACTGCAGAAACAGCATGTGTGGAGACTGATGAAAATGTCTCATTAAAAATTCAGTTTAGGGCATTGAAGAATGATCCATGTCATATCCAAGATAGATGCTACTGACCAAAAACGTGAATAATCTGAAAAGGCCAAGTCACATAAATCAAGAAATTCCAGTTCAAATATTTTCAGGCTTTAGATGAAATGTATCACTTCTTGGTTCAACACAGAGTAACACTGTGGTACTGTTTGTATCAGAGAGAGAGAGAGAGAGAGCCTTTTCCAACTGTACAACGGGCAGCGAGGAGCTCTCTAAATCAACTTGCTGATCCGACAGCAGCCAGTCTCCTGGCGGACCAGACCCAAACCTATTTTGTGGAGTGAAGTGAAGCGGTCACAGTATGTGCTCTTCACTGCCACATCACACTAAAGAATCAATATTCCACCGGAGGGGAGATGTGTGCCGGTCCCTGATGTTTACTCACAGCGCAAAGAATAAGAGTAAGAGCAAGCGAGGAGAGAGCACTGGAAAATAATACGGAGACATGGAAAGTTCTAACGATTACCACAGAGAATAGGAAGGAGAAAAGACAAAAGAACAGGAGAAGGAATTAGAGGTGGGAATATTTCGAGGAACATACATGGTTTTATAGGACACCAGGTCTGTCAAAAGGGTTTTAATTGGACCTCATAGTTCAGGAATTAGTCTTTTCTTGTTTTTTTCTGTACAAAAATGCAAACACCAGGAATATGTTAAATAGTAGATGATATGTAGTATTAGGTACATGTGAGCTGTAGATCATTAACATGACATCATGTCATTCAATTTAATAAAAGTAATGCTACATGCAAAACAACATGATAATTCATTGTGTAATGTTAGGCATGTGTGCAATTTTCAGTTTTCTTTGTGTCTGTGCTGAAAGGGAAAAAAACACAGAAATATAGAGACAAAGCATTATAGACATAGAGAAATACTCTAAAGGTAGAGGTGACAATCCCTTATGAATAAATGTTTACATCCTCTATAAAATGACATGCCGCTTAAAATGCTACATTTTTTTAGATGCAATTAATGTAAACCTTGGGGCTATCAGCACTGTATATGTATGTGCAATACAGTAAAGCTAGTCTAACACTAATGTACAGAAGTTTGAATTAATTTTCTCATAATAATGGGGCCCGGTCAGGCTCAGCCCGAAGAAACAACATGGAGCAGCCACCCTGTGGACCCACCACCCGCAGGGACATGCATCGGGATCGGGTGCAATGCAGACCGGGCGGCAGGTCGGGCCGGGGGCCTGCGCGAGCCGATCGCCGGCAGCATAGACTAGCTCTAGGGACGTGGAACGTCACCTCGCTAGCGGGGAAAGAGCCGGAGCTGGTGCAAGAGGTAGAGCGATACCAGCTAGATATAGTTGGAATCACCTCCACACACAGCACTGGCTCTAGAACCAAGCTCCTGGAGAGGGGTTGGACTTTGGAGTTCCCAGGGTGAGAGGCGCCGGGTGGGAGTGGGGATACTCACGAGCCCCCGGCTGAGCGCCGCTGTGTTGGAGTTCTCCCCGGAGAACGAGAGGGTCGCCTCCATGCGCCTACGGGTTGCGGGGAGCAAGGCTCTGACTGTGGTTTGTGCTTATGCACCAAACAGCAGTTCGGAGTATCCGGCGTTCTTGGAGTCGGTGGGAGGGGTCCTGGAAAGGGCGCCGCCTGCCGACTCCATAGGTCTCCTGGGGGACTTCAACGCTCACGTGGGCAATGACGGAGAAACCTGGCGGGGGGTGATTGGGAGGAACGGCTTACCCGATCTGAACCCGAGTGGTGTCTCGTTATTGGACTTCTGTGCTTGCCATGGTTTGGCCATAACGAACACCATGTTCGAACATAAGGTGGCTCATAAGTGTACCTGGTACCAGAACACCTTAAGCCGGAGATCAATGATCGACTTTGTAATCGTATCATCTGATCTGCGACCGTATGTCTTGGACACTCGGGTGAAGAGAGGAGCAGAGCTGTCAACTGATCACCACCTGGTGGTGAGTTGGATCAGATGGCGGAGGAGCCGGCTGGAAAGACCTGGCAAACCCAAACGTGTAGTGAGGGTGAACTGGGAAGTCTGACAGAGGACCCTGTCCGGGAGGTCTTTAACTCCCACCTCCGGAAGAACTTCTCACACATCCCGAGGGAGGTTGGGGACATGGAATCCGAGTGGACCATGTTCAAAGTGGACACCTGCGGTGAGGGAAGCCGTCAAGCTGAAGATGAAGGTTTTTCGGGCCTGCTTGGCTCAGGGTTCTCCTGAAGTAGCTGAGAGTTACTCCTCTACGCTACT